TGCTTAATGATGGAATAAAGTAATTTTTGAAACCCTATTATTACAGACGCGCAAATACATTCAAGCAAGAACAACTAATTAACACAGAAAACAAGGGCTAATATTCGAAATTATGTAAATTTGTTAAAACAAAATTTTTTTGTTATTCACCTCTTATTTGATTACTTACATTACAAGAATTACTTACATTCCAAGACTATTACACGAATATTTCATAGATTAATTTTTATAACCCATAGTAAAGTGTTTGTTTGTTATATTTTATGTCTAATAGTATGGCACATTTTTCATTTAGCTTTTAAGTATGAGTCTAGAAATGTCATTGTAAAGGTTTAAAATATTATGTCGTACTTAATTGTACATCACTTGTCAGTTGCTTATATTATTATTATTATTATTTTTGTAACCATTCTCATCGTTTGTCGATAAATAAAAAGAAAGGTAATATAAAACGAAATTATACCCTTAGAGAGTGTCTAAATTACGTGACTCTCCATGGTTTTTGTGCTAACATATTTACTAAGAAATTAAAAAATTTGTGGTTTTGATGCTTTTTTAACTGAACTGTAGTTAAGCAAATGATATGAACAAATACTCTTTTTACGAATTATTTTATCACAAATTATATATACAGTGTTCATATGTTTAAAGACCCTCTACTAACATTGTATTTATTACTAACCACATTTATTCATATTAACATGAAATGTGTGTAATTAAGGAAATATGACTTTGACTTGACTTTGACTATAATCACGAAGACGCATCTCAACAACATATCGTGCTATATATTTATAACATAGAGAAACCAAAAAAAACCCCCAAAAAACAGAGCAAACAAAATCACAATATTTGTTTTTTCATTCTAACATGTCAAGAAAAACTATAGTTGGACTATATTGTTGATGATTAAATTTGTTCTTGCCTCAGTATTTCTAATATTTACGTTCTTTAAAGGCTTTTTAGTCTGTTTATGCACATCAATTTGAGAGTAACAAATATTGGAAACATTGTTTGCCTTCTTATTTTATTTTTTTATATATTTTACAAGCGAAATACAGAGTCTTTATAGTAAAATAAAAACAACAGTGAAAAGTTTTCTTTTTTACAGTTTTTGCACGCGCTGTTTTGGCGCTTTATTGTGACGTCACGTTAACAATCCTTCAAACGTCTGTAATGCGTAAATGAATGAATTAAAGATATTGGTGTCCGTTTTTATTATTTTAAGTAAGACAACTTTCTATCATTCTAGATAGTTTTATTATACTTTATCACATACCAATATCGAATTTGCGATTCCGTAAAAATGGTATTACAAGGTCGTGCATATACTTTGAAGTTACGTCATTTACGTTATATGAACTGAGTGTTAAAGTGTGTTAATTGTAAGCGTTATACTATAGGCGCATCAATAAATAATGGTTCTTTTTTTCTTCAAAAGGTCTTTGTTTTTGGTAAGTGATAAATAGAATATTAAAGTCGTGTAAGTTTAATACTAAATTTATTAAACTCGTTGAATGAATAACATAATATTATGCTCGCCATAATTTTATTCAACTCGTTCAAGAAATTCAGTATTAAACTTACACTCGTTCAATATACTCTGTATTTATCACATACCCGTGTCGCTTTTGCACGGTAGTGTTTATATAACGCATATGACGTCACGTCAAAATATATTCACGACCGTGCAATACCATTTAAAATTTATTTTCCAATCTTACTTAATACAAGATTATAATCATACCAGATTTAACAACTTGTTTGCCTAATAGCATTAAGATCGTTTTACGATTTTTTACCATAGAAACGGATGTAGCATTTCGTGCATGCGCATTTTGCGTAAGTAGGGCAAAAGTTGTAAAGAAAGAATATATAATATCGGTATTCAACAACTTCAGAATCAACTTGATGTAATGTGAAAGAGTAACCATTAGTTTAGAATAGTTTATTTCGATAAATTATAGGTGCACGAAAGTTTGTTAATGCATATTAAAGCACTTAACTCCTAATTAAGATCGTGAATACGAAATTTTTGGGCAATATTTCTCTGTCTATTCTAATTTTCCACCATGTCATTCAAACTTGCCTTCAGATGAATGACGTTTCGTATATGTCAAGTAATAGAATTCAGAAAAGAGAAAAAAAGCACATGCCTATTCAAAGGTCACATTATTAAGGACAATCTTAACGATGTCGATCGTCCTTCATGTTGTCTGGAGAAGAATTTGCGACAAAATCGGCAAACATTTATTTCTTTTAATGAGCTATAAATTTGACTGTAAAAAGTAAGTTATTCTAAAGTGTAGTGTACGAAAAAAGTTATCAGTTTAGAGTGTAACATAAATGAGTTAACAAATTTAATGAAAAATATGAAACTCAAAAACTTTTTTAGGATGTACATTGTAAATATTTTAAGGGAGCATTCTTTCTCACAGTATTTGAATCCTATTTTTTTATTTAATTAGCTATTTTATTATTTTTTTTTGTTCGCCAGTGTTATCCATTTTATCCCATTATGAACTTAGATTTCTTCGAAGAAGGTTTAGGCAGTATCAATAACATATAAATGTGTACGCAGTATCTTGATTTTTTTTAGAGTGTACGCAGTATCATAATATCTATTTTCTGTACATAGTACGTTTTAAGACATTTTTCGTACAAAGGAAAAATTACAAAGATCGAAAATATATTTGTGAAATAGATTCTACAATAAACTAACTTCCAGTTGTGTGAAACTTTCAGTTAAATCGACAATTTCTAAATTTATGTAACATTTCAACGCAGAGTGTACGCAGTATCCAGACTCAAAATCGCATTCAACGCGAAATACTGACGAGAAAGGGAAGACTTGTGTCAAGGCATTAGGAATATTAAAACTAGAAGTAATGACATCTTCTTTTCAAAAGAAATTAAATTCAAATACATTCTGATTGCTTTACATGACTCGTTTTTGTTCAAAATACCGTTTGAAAAAGTGTTCGCGGTATCAGAATTTTGAGGATGCGCGCGCATGGTATGACCCCCTTAATCTTGTTAGCCAGCGAATATTTACAATATTTTAAGAAATTTTATACAAGTATAAGAAGAAACAAGTTGAAAGTAAGTCTAATTTAGTGTGAAAAGGAAAGGGATTACTAAACACTATGCTTATGGTACTTGTTATAAGTCTTTTAATATATTTTTGCTACATTAAAGAAATCACCAGGAAATAATTATTAAATAACTTTCTTAATTGAATTATTTAAGATAATGCGGAGAAACGTAAGTCTTATAATGGATTATTTTGATAAACATACTGACACACAGATACTGTATTTTATTAAAATTTATATTATCAGAACTCTATATTTGTTAGTATATATGTTAGTAACAACTTGCTGCGTGTTAAAAGTAGCAACTCCTTGTCTACGCAAGTTTTGTGTTACAGATAAGGAAAGTTTTTTGGAATTCAAATGATAATTTCTTGTGTTAATTTTCATCCTTTCACAGTTTTCAGAAAAGCGTCAATCGTTCCTCCAAGTGGCCATTTTTCGTTTGCCTGTATTTGAAAGACCCCGTGTACATGAACCATTTAAGATATATAGTGCAATTCTGTTACCATAACATGCCGTAATGGCCTGCATATAAGACGCTGTTTAATAGTTGGTCCGTAGATGATTTTGTCAACCTGATATTTATTTTAAAAACGTATGAACTATTCATGTACCTGGGCACCTATACGCCGACAAATATACACTTCGGAAATGTTGACAGTATTAATAATTGGTGCATAGTTCTCTTCTTCCCTTGATTTCTTTGTTTCAACTCTAAATGTATAAGATGAGTGTTCAAGTAGAGACACTATAATCATATTAATTATTATATTATATTATATTAAAATCTAAAAATAACTTTTTCCAATTTGGACCGTATCATCATGGGAAATTGTATATTTTTTCCGCAAAGTGAACACTGCTCTTATTTAAATTAATATATCTGCGCATGTCTTTACCAAAGTAAAACAGATAATGTAGAATGATATTTCAGATTATAAGACACATCTTTAAAATATTTTCTGGGAACATAACATCTTCATTCATTATTTCTTAAGTTTGAATTTGTTTTTTTCGCGTTGGCCATGACTCGACGGTCTATCGAAATGGGCAGGGAAAATCTCTCTTTATGAGAATATTCATATTCAGTTGAGCCTTGTTTTATTTTGCAAAAGGCTTTCATAGTTTGGTATACAACAAAGATTTATTCCATATCTTTGACATTTATGCCGTAAAAGAATTGCTTTCTTTTATAAAATATTTTCATGATGAAGCCTGATTTCGAGAATCAACGCGGATATTGTACAATGTAACAGAACCAAAACGGAGCGCCGCTTACTAATTTTTTTGCTTTTGGACAATATTATCAAATAAAAATGTGTACTTATTTATTTTACAGTAGTAAGATAGTGATTGTTTCTCCTTCAAATATGAGAGGTGTTGCTTTGTAACGAACTTAGGAAATTGGCGCCTCTTCAGTTCTTTTTAACCAATTTTGAAGTTTTTGTTATTGAATGAAAATTACGATTTCAAGTATAATAAGATAAAAAAATCAGAAAATAGTACCTAGAAATTAGATATTACAACTTTAATCTTAAAAAGTTGGTCTTTCTTGCATACATTTGGAGCGTATCGGTAAGCCGGGAAAAATTTGCTGAGAAAAATCGGGACCGTACCCCCTTTAAATTCTCACAACTTTTTAAACAATTTTCATAATTGTATTATAGACATTTAAGATTATCATCTTGAAAATAAATCATCAAGTATATCGAGTCAAGGCCGACGCGATAAAAACAAATTCAAACTTAAGAAAAGTAATGAATGAGAATGTTATGTTTCCAGAAAATATTTTAAAGATGTGTCTTATTATCTGAAATATCATTCTCCATTATCTGTTTTATTTTGGTAAAGAAATATAAGTTAACATACGCAGATATATGCATATAATGTTTTTTTTTTACTTACAATGGATAATTCAGCATCTTACAAACAACTTTTGCTGACAGCGCACTAAAAGCATCATCGCATACTGTCCACCAAGTGTTATCATGCCATACTTCAAGTCTCCCTTCATACCGATTTAACCCGTTAACCAACCGAACTTTCAAGAATAAAAATAATATTTTCAAATACCAATAACAACAACAACAATAATAATGGCATAATTATAATAATATATTTTACAGTTGTGTTATGTTGACTATACTTATTGAACAACATGTTTGTAACTGGTACATCATTAAAATGATAAAAGTAATAAAAAGAAAAAAGAGAAAAAAATTCCATTTAGGAGATATTCTTATGCGTGTGCTATATCTAGTAGACAGTTATGTATTGTCTGATTCCCTACCTCAGCCCATTTAAATATAAACATCGACTTGTCTTTTTTTAGTTTTGCCAGGATAAATGTTTTGGATAGAGGAACAAGTAGATGGACGGCATAATAAAAAGAATTTTAATTTTATACAGAATTTCTATTATGGCCCATACACAATTTCATCAACAGAACATTTTACCTTTTTGAGTAATAACAGGATATAGACGGAAAAATGATCAAATGAAAATTAAGTGCATATCTATATGACACTTTATCTACAGTACAAGTATCATCAACAAAGATGCATCATGTGCATTATTTCAATATTGCCCTCTATGTACATATTACGTTTTATATACCTAGCTTTTGCATTTTTCATTATGGAACATTTGTTAAGATGTCTTCATTTCCATAACCGTATCACCCACAAATTATATATAGTCACCATATGGTCATCTGTTCTATGGTGGCTAATTTGTTACACTTTTGCGCGTCGCATTGTCGCTGACGACAACACGACAAAGCGCTAAACGACGCGTTATCGCCTTCTTGTCTTGTCGCTAGCGAAACACGCCAAACGCCTTTTTGGCGCTATGATGCTCGCGACAACGAGCCATACGACAGCTCTCTAAGAAGCCAACCCTTCGATATAATTCAAGCGCCACGGCAACAACGTGCCGCATGAAGAATCGCAGTCTGACGCATTTCGCAGCGACAAGATGACATGACGAAAAGGCGACAACGCAACGCGCAAAATTGTAACACATATTATATGTTATCAACCTAGCTTGCTTTTGGACATGATAAATTATTAGTGATTTCTTCTTTAAACGGAATGACCTCCGGACAAACGGACACACGGATGGTAATCTTAAGTTGTTCTCCGGCGAAATATGAAATTAACCTTTTACGACAAAGATATTTATGGAGGCTGTTCGTTGCCAAAAATCCAGCCTTTAAAACTTGACTATGCATATTTTCGATTCTACTAAACAGATAAGTAAAATCTAATTGTCGATCCGAGAGTTAAATACTGCATGAACTGGTAACACTCTCAGGTTGACAACACCACACTTTCGTTTTACATTCTAAGGGGATTACCATTTGTAAACGATTTTGCAACTTCCATATGGCAATATCACGGAAAATGACGAAGATTAAAAAGGTGGAGCCAATTTTCATGAAAGTAGAATATAAAGAAAGGCAACTTTTACTGGGCAGTAATAATAAGTACAAAAATATTTCAAATTAAATGAAACTGTTATATATGTCACATACATCAACTGCATTATAGTTGACTTTGAATTTAAAACGTGTTCTAGCACAGGATATTCAATTATTACAAAAGTGGTTAATATATAATGTAACAATGGGACTACGTTCGTAGAACGTCATAAAATTGATAATGAGCATAATAATATGCAATAACTAAAGTTCGTCATTAACATAAGGGAATGTTTTCCATATATAAGGACACAAACCACTCCTTAAAGCTATGAATTGTTGAAAAGTGTAAAGTATTGAAGGAGAGCCATTTTTGTCTTTTATACATATATATCCGATTTGAAATAGTCAATATAATGAAAATATAGAAATCTAAAAATTTAATTCTTTTCAATAATATTTTTCAAATAATTACTTTGTGTACATGATATGCCGACATCTTCGTCATGAGAACAATCATTTAATCCCCAACTTCTATGTGGACATTGAGGTAAGCTTATCTCAGTCCCCGTACATTTAACATCGTCCAAGTGTATTGGCAGTTTTCCAGCGCCGAAGTATGCGGACTTAAATACTAGAGGATTGTTACTAAAATAGAGAAAAACAGAATCCTTGAAGAATACACAAAACGGCAAAACTGTAATTGCTGCAGGCTCGGTTTTATGTAGCCTTGGCATTGCAAGTTTCCGTCCGGCTAAAGCAGTATTCAACATTTAAATGTACGTATGTAATGGTGAAATTTTGAATTAAGAAACATACGCAGAAGAGTTCATCTGAAAATGATATAACTGTCGTTTTTTATCATGACATATATATATGACATCAGTTAATCACTTGAATCTCTACATGTATGTCATTGTAAATGAAAACATTTATTTTAGAATTAAACAAAACTTCTTAATTTTGATTTTAAAATTTAAACGTACGAATGTATTTGCATAAAAAAGTTTGAAAAGTTTTTTTTGTCTTTAGGGAATGAATGTAAATGAATTCAATATGTTTTATAATTATTGATTTTAGTCTTCATACAACATGTACAACTGTATCACATGTGAGATATTATGGCCACCTCATAGACATTTTGCCGCCAAAGTCTGAACATATTTTCTTGTTTATTAAAAAGTATTGAGATTGTATTCTTTTAACCAAGCTGCATGATTGATATAATTTTAATTAGGCAATGTTACTTGAAATATCTTCCTGCGCCGAAGTGTGCGGACACAAATACCAGGAGATAAGTACTAAATTTATATAATTGTCTGTTTTAACACAACATACATGTAATCAGTCAATCTCTTTAATATGAACGTGTTGTCATTGAAAATAAATACATTGCTTTTGAGCATCAAACAGTTGGTCTTCTTATAACAACTTCGTCACAGGGTTGGCATCAATACAACTGTTTATGTACATGGACTTCATAATATGAATGTACATTCCTATTTCACTCGTTAATTAAAAAAGTACATTGGGTGTTTTTGTGACACAGTTTTTTTATTCAAGCTGCAGGATTAATGTAATTTTGTAGAGGGTAATTAAGCAATGATACATGAAACATCTCATAACTGAGTACTTTTGTATTTGTATTTTCACCAATTTCGATCCTAGAGAAATTATTTTTATTACTTTGTAAAAGACCACAAGGTAATATACTAATATTACATGTCAAATACGTTTGCTATGAGCATTGAAGTTTCGGAAGAGAAGTTTTTCAGATATGTTTTCTACAATATATATAAACCTAAATGTCATTTTTTTCAATGTACGGGTTTTGTAGTTTTCGAGAAACATTTTAAGACATTTGTTTCACTATATCAGTATATATTAACTAAGTGGTCACTGGATTGGGCAATTTATGATCACAAGTGATTGAATTGTGAAACTTCTGTGGAGGCCTACGGTTTGATATAGCAAGCTATATATTAAAGAGTTTATTGTGGTTCTTTTGACCATATGTATATGACTGAAAATATTTATATAATTTTTATAGAGGACTCAAGGACCATTTCTTTAGGTTAAGACAAAGTCCATTTTGTTATTTGAAAGGAGATATGGTTTCAAGAACAACGATTGGTGGACACTTTTCCATAAAAAAGCTCGACTATGGCCACTTTGTTTTCATGTGATTCAAATTATGACCAGATCTGATGTAAATATTTCAATACATAGTTTGCTGATCATGTTTTTCTTGAAGGTTTACAGAGGTACATGGAAAACTGTATGAATACGTATTGTGTGATTTTAATCATTTGATGGTTAGAAAAAACAAGAGGACCAAGATGGCCCTAGATCGCTCCCCTTACCCGTCAACCACATACGAGAATTGTCTTAGACAAGCATCCAAACCAAGTTTGATGACAATTGAATCAAAATGTGACATCTAGTGTGTTAAACAAGGTTTTCCATATCTAGGCAGTGCAACCTAGTTTTGACCCCAGGCGACCCATATTCAAACTTAACTAGAAATAATCAAAACAAACTTGCAGCCAAATTCCAGGATATTTCAATAACAACAGTAGCCACTAGAGAGTTCACAAGAGTTTCTTTTTTTAGCACCTGTGACCTAGTTTTTCATCAGAGATACCCATATTCGAACTCCTCAATGCAATTAACTAGACAGGCGTCCTGATTAAGTTTGATCAGAATTGAGGCAAATGTAACCATTAGAGTATTAATAAGGTTTTTCTATATATGGGCAGTGTGACCCTGTTTTAACCCCAGGTGATCCATAATCAAAATTGACCTAGAAATCATCAAAACAACCTTCCTGATCAATTTCCAGGATACTTGGATCAAAACTGCAGCTACTAGAGTGTTAACAAGATTTTTCTATTGACCTTGTTTTTGACTAGAGACGTCCCATATTCAAACTTGACCTAGAAATCATCAACGCAACTTTCCTGACAATATCTAAAATATTTGGATCAAAACTGTAGCCACTAGAATGTTAACAAGAGTTTTCGTTTTTTAGCTCCTGTGACCTAGTTTTTCACTGGAGATGACCCATTTCGATCTTGACCTAAAAATCATCAAAAAGACCTTCCTGACCAATCACCAGGATACTTTGATCAAAACTGCAGCCACAAGAGTGTGAACAAGATTTTCTATTTTTGTCCCTGTGACCTAGTTTTTGACCGGAGACAACCCACATTCAAACTTGACCTAGAAATTATCTACACAACATTCCTGACAAATTTCAAAAATATTTGGATCAAAACTGCAGCCACTAGTGTTAACAAGATTTTTTTTCTATTTTTATCTCATGTGTTGTAGTTTTTTTATTAGAGATGGCCCAAATTCAAACTTGACATAGAAATCATCAAAACAACCTTCCTGACCGATTTCCAGAAAACTTGGATCAAAACTGCAGCCACTAGAGTGTTAACAAGCTTTATTATTTTCAACTCCTGTGACTTAGTTTTTTACCCAAGATAACCAATCTTCGAACTTGACCTGTATTTGATTGAGACCAACATTCTAAAAAAGGTTGATGATGAGTTTTAACAACCCAATTGTTGACGACGACCGACGCATAAACGCACTACGCACGACGACGGACGCCAGACATAGCCCCATCACTATACCTCACCTTGACCACTTTATGGTCAGGTGAGCTTAAAAGCAACTAAACATGATTATTACTAGCGAGAAAGAAATGAATGCGATTCCAGAAAATGATTGAAAAATATGTATGATAAAATAAAATGTACATTGTCTATCTATGTGCCATTGATTAGCATAATTATGTTTTGCAAAGTTTAACATTTTAGTTAGGTTCCTAATATGTTTGATATATATAATGGTAATCAATTTATCTTAAAGTTAAAAAGATTAATAATACATCCACTATATAACATGCATGAAAACTTGTACAGAATTAAGTTAATATCGTTTATTACTTACTGTGGATAATTTAGCATCTTACAAACAACACTTGCTGATAGCGCTGTAAACTCATCATCGCATACTGTCCCCCAAGTGTTATCATGCCATACTTCCAGTCTCCCTTCATACTGGTTTGACCCTTCAACTAATCGAACTTCAAGAATATTTAAAGAATTAATAATCATATATACCATAATGCTTCATGATAAATGACCAGTCTTATGAGCAATTGCAATGGTGGCTAAATTGGTTTGGTCACTGTGCCGGTCAATATCATGGACAAATAAAAAGTGAAAAAGTAAAGATTATATTTCATTTAACATGAAGTACAGGAACGCTATCGTCAGTCACTTATGCTAGAGTTTTGCTTTGTTGTAAGTGTATAATCTAAATTTTATATTATATTATTAATTAATTTTTCAATATTAAGCAGGTTTTCACTTCAAATGTAAGGCTAATATGAAGTTCAGCATGGCATTATGAACATACAACGAGGCCATTTTGCAAAAAGTACGGCCTTTAAGAGAAAACTCGGCTATTATGAGAAAAGAGAATTTAGATTGGCTCCCCAGCTCTGCCATTATGAATCTGCTTTTTTTTATTGAAATTGCTGCACGGTAGGTTTTCGAGACATTTTTAAAAACATGAATCTCATTTGAAAAACCCAACAACAACGGAATTTACGTAAGTTATGTTTTGTTCACTGAGTAATTAACTTTTTAGTTTATTTAGTTTTTGAGTTAATTTATAACATTGTCAATAATTAAATGTTTTCAAATGGCCTTGTAAGTGGGTTTTAGACTGTTATATTAGCCATCGGCCTGAGGCTAATATGACAGTCTTCAGCCCAATAACAAGGCAATTATGAAAACATTTAATTATAAACATTATGGTAAACATTGTTAAAGTGATCGTATTGTTACTGCCCATGATTTACTGTGCCAAGTTTTGCTTTGTTGTAATTGGATAATCTAAATTTATATTAAAATAGAAATTGTCACAATAATCTAATTGTTACATGTACTGCCCATGGCTTACTGTGCTTGTTTTCCTTATATCAAAGTCATGATAAAATAACATATTAGAATACTATTTCCACGTGACAAAATTATAGAGAAATCACTTAAGTTAATAAAACAAGAAAATAAATAAGAACTTGTGGATGACAGTGGATGACGATCGCAAAAGCCCATATCTGAGCAATAATTTGTATACGGACAAATTGCTAAAATACAAATGCTTATTTTATCAGAAAAATAAATATCCGAAATTGACATTTATAAAGGAGTAAGGAGTTCAGCTTTACTCAGACAAGATTAACGATATAATTAAAAGCTCTGTAGAATGGTTTACCCGATAGCTTACACATGTTTCATTATCAATAAGGAACAATATATTGCGAATCAAAATTGGAACAACGGCTATCAATTCATGGTTAAGATAGTACCCAATATCAACATTGCCAAATAAAGAACTGTAAACATTTACTAGCGGTATAACCCTCCTAACTCTGCTTTGAAGAGTATCTAAAAGGCTAGAATTACTGTCAACTGCATTGAAACTAAGTGTCCTAGGGTCAACTTCTTTTCTTCTTTTTTTCTTATGTTTATCTCATATCTGTTTTAGAAAGAAAGAAAGTGAAAATTCGGACACAGTTTCAACAGAATCTGTTTCTAAATAACCTCATCAGTATAAGTTCACAAATACTACCCGCCGTTTCCTTACATCGTGCATTTATTTCTTTATGTATAACAGACATATTACAAAGATTTTCATCAGTAGCAATATCACCTTTGCAAGTTTCGATATGGCATATTTTGAAATCCTTAGAGCTGCCTATGCACCCAAATGGTGATGCACACGTCCTTACTCGTTCTCTTAGTCCAGCACCACACAGTTCAGAACATTCTCCCCAGGAAGACCACTGATCCCATTCTAAAAGAACACAAACTATCATCATATTGACGTGACATAGGTAATAAATCGAATCATCTTCTCTGATAGTTTGTTACAAGCCCGGTTGTTATTCCAAAGTTATGTTGGGTTTAATCCATTAAAAGCCATTAAAGTAAGATGCTGTACAATTTCTTCTGTCATGAATAAGCATTTTACTGTGAAACACTTGACGTTGATAACAGAATGGGGAAATACAAGGAATAAAAAGGTGGTGTAATGAAAAGCTACGCTCTGAGAACAGTTACCAATATGATCTGAACAACTTACAATCAGCCAACGAGCGCATATAGCTTTAAATGTTAATGTAACTTAAAACTATATATTAAGTATCATTTTCATTTGAAATATCTATGTTCTTATTCAATATATTATTTTATAATTTGTACGATACGAAATAAAAAATATGTTACAGTATATTTATTGTTATTATTATGCTATGGTGAGATAGAAATCGACTAAGGCCTACCTTTGTTTTCTTTCACTTGATTACTTAAAGTATCTACGACCATTCTGTTCTGCCCTACACTTTGATTTACTGAGACAATATCTGATGAAATGCGTTGAATATTTTTATCCAGTTCTTTGATACTATTAAGTCTTCCATTAACGTCTGTCATAAGTTTATTTTCAAATGAAGAGATGTTGCTAAAAACGGTTTCGATAAAACTGACAGTATCGTTTGCCGTATCATCTAAAAATTCTTGAATTTCTTTCTTGTATTTGACTTGCATAGCAGTTATATATTCGAAACGTTCGTCTATAGTATTGTTAATTACAACTTTGAATTTTTCTATGATTTCCTTATGTTCATTTACTATTTCATTTATGTTTGAAACTAATTTTTGTCTTTCTTTTTTCTCCGAGATTAGTGTCTTCTTCACAATGGCACCAATGCCTCGATTGATTCCTGTGTGTTTATCCTTTGCTCCGGTGACTGTTTCATTAAATTTCATATTGATATCTTTAACGTTTTGTTCTAACTTTTCTAGACGATCTGAAATGTAGAGATATTTCTTTTAGAAGGACAAATAGGCATGAAATACATGATAAAGTACTTTGGGTGTTGTAATAAGCATACATGACGCAAAATTCAAGTTTTCACTTTTTTGTCATTGGAAATGTTCGTTTTTTAGGCATATTCCAAACAAATACATGCAATTTTGGTTTGGATGTCTAATGCTTTGTAACTGATTTATTTGACATAGACCAACGTAGTTACATAGCACCTGATTATATTAAAGATCCTGTATGTTGTAAGTGAGGTTGTATACCGCACTTAAGTGAAATTATATACTAGTATATGTATATAATTATGCTTAAAAAACAATTATCGAAGAATATGTAAAATAAGTGCTGCAAATATTTGTACATACTATTTGTAATATCTTTGTAAATAATGCTTTTTGGAACTTCATAAATCTTAATTTGAGCCTCATATTTATAATATAAAACCATCAAACATTTGTGTCACAGGATATTTAAACACGTGCTTTACAATTAAGTAAACACAAATTAGAAACATAACTATACCATTTGGAATCGGCCCAGTCGTCTCGTATGCCTTAAGTCTCGCTTCTAATCTACTGATTCTAGCAGACTCCATTCGTTGTTCTATCAGAACTTGTTGTACTATATCCTTTAATATTCCAACTTCCTGACAGTCACAAATTGCACCCCCTTCACATGTTACTGTCGGGATGGTAACAAAAAAAATAACAATGCACAATAAGAACATTTTAGTATGCAAAAAGTAATATGTCATTAATATATCTTTTTTAAACTTACAGCTAAACCCATATGACACAACAACGTTTTTGCATTTAATATAGCTCGTACAATTATGTTAATTATGGTTAATATAGGCATTCAATTAAAATAGTAATGAGCAGAAAGTCAAGTGAGATTGGACAAGAAAATATGAAGTGCATCACTTGACATTAAGTGGTTACGTTTTATACTTTCCATTTTGATTGAATATATACAAGTCGTCCAAGGTTAAGGAATGACAAAAATAAAATCACTAAAAATACGATAGTATAAAATTGATAACAAGATTTTTTTTTTTTGGAACCACGTTTAAGGCCCGTTTATTTCACGAAAAAATAGAAGAATACAAACCATGATAACTTTATGAAAACTACATTGTATTCAACTAACAAACTTTGAAATTTAAAAACTTGCCTGTGTCAAGTTAAGAGGTACTTCAATTTCAAAGGTGATTGTACAAATATAAGTGTAAATTTTTGAAAATGAAGGTTAAAATTTAAAAATAAAAACACTAGTAAGTAAAAAGTCATACCTTAAAAAGTTATGTGTTTGCACATATTCAAACATTTAGTACAATTGTTAAAAATAAAAATAAATAAAAATATGATAGGATATTCAGAACAAAACTCTTTATGTTTTAGAATAAGAACTTCAAATATATCACAATGGGAAGGAGTGGATTGCACAAGTATAACCAATCCCTTTGATTCTTTTTCGCATCTTTTTTTTGTCAAGGCTATAACTCATGAAGTTCAACATATATGTTAAGAAACGTAATTGGAGAATAGAGCACACTAAGAAAGAATGCAGTCGGCGAAAAGATAACATATCATTTGGAATTATGGAATGCCTTTTGTTATATTGTTTCATGCTTATTTTTGAATTTAGAACATTTGGCCAGGCTATAACTCAATATGTCAATATATTTGAGACAAATCAGCTTCAAACTTCATAAAAGAATAGCTGTCATGTACCAAATTTGTACGTTTGGTGATTCCTCTTTGATGTATGCATATAAAATTATGTGTTCTTGCTAATGGACTTTCCTTTTTTTAAAACACTTTTTATTTCTTTCGGTCAGGAATTGGGCAGTCTTTTTTCTATCGGCCAGGAATTAAGCAGTCAGTAACTGCTAATTGTTAGAACTGAAACGTTTTGTTAATTTTAGCCCTTAAAGGGAATTCACTGAGGAGTTTTCAATGACGAGACTGGACATTATTTTTCGATATTAATGTTCAATTCATGTAGGTTTAGACCAATAACTGTTGTGCAAAATTTCAGTCTATTCGCTCACTCTGTTTTGCCAGGATCATTATGAAAAATTACCCAAACATGATAATCGTTGCAACGCTTTTTACTAAAACAGGGCTGAAAATAGCACACAACGACATATATACTTGCATATCTTTCTGTTTAAAGTGCACAAGCTTATCTATGCAAAAAATCTCATTTTGTGTTTTATGCTTTTTGGACCTCAGTGTACATTGTATTTCCTTTAATCGAGTAGCGATATACATTTTAATCAATGAATAATCAGTCCATTGTTTAATGAAACGAATATCACAGTGCAAGCAGGTAACAGTGACTAGATCTATATATATTTGTTATGTAAAATACATTAGACGAGAGTATGTTACATAATTCTAAACAATAATGAGGAAAACACTTTAATTGAAGAAATATGGCGGGAAGTAGTGAGAGTAAGATTACTTGCTTATTATACATTGTTGAGTACTTCAATACTAAATTATATAGGACCAGAACATAGCTGTGAAAATTAGCCTATGATCTCAACTAAAATTAGTTGTGCAGCTGGGTCTATGAAAAATAACACCAAAATGTACAATGACTTCTGTTCCACACCTGCGCTTTAAGGCCCATCATGCTTTATAAATGTTCTCATTTTTATTACTTAAAAAATTTCATATTTGGTATATTTCTGCAGTTTACAAATATATTACTCAGTTGTCTTATAGTTAAACCATCATTTGCACTGTTGGCAATTGGCATACTTACAATGGAAGTCAAAATAATACGTTGTTTACATTATGCTACCATTGACTGCACGTTTATCGATTCTATCTTTAATGCACTATATCCGTTATGAAAACATTATTACACACATGTTTTAATTTCTAAAGAATGAAAAATATGGGTTTCTGATGCATATTGTGTCTTTGAGAAAGTTTAAGTCAGTTCCTGTCTTTTTTTAAAAAAATATTTTATGTGATCAAATCATTTCGAGATCGATTCACGGTTTGAAATAACTTTGTACAGTAAATACGTTCGTTTTTCTCTGAGTGATTCGTTGTTTGATGATACAGAATTTAATTAATAGTGTCGAATATTTAACAGTGATAACCCATACTAGTTTTATAAGAAACTGCGAGTAAAGTTTGGGTTTGATATGGATTTATTTTGGATTTGGAAAATGAAAACTAGGTTAAATGGAGAACAATATTGAATTGATATCGGAAATTGAAAACAAAATATCACACTTTGCAAGCGCTTGAATAAATTGCTTAATTTCTTAATTTTGAGATTAATCACTATTATGGTGTGAATAAAGTGTTCAATTGTTTCAATTTACACGACAGGTCGTTTTATTTGAAAGACAGTATAATTTAACACTGCCATTTTTGATAAACATGATAAATTATTTATCTATTCATTTTATTAGAGCAGGGAGAAGGAAGATTTTTATCAATGTAGAAATGCGTGTTCTTAATGAATATAGAAACAGGAAGAAAAATTAACGACACAGAATATAAATAAAAAAGTGAAAACCTGTTGAATTTGTAGATAATTCATATAATTAAAAAAACAACGCCGCTATCTTTCGTTAGACCTTCTAGTTAATTTTAATTACTTCACCTAAACTTTGTTTGTAATCTGTCCAGTATAGACCCAGTCCAGTCTGTATATGATAGAGCCATGCAGTATGTACTGTAAGGAGCCTGTGTATTCTGTTCAGTAGGGAGCAGATGCAGTTTGTCCAATATAGAGCTAGCGCAGTCTGTCCAGTATAGACCCCTGTAATATGTCAAGTACTGTGCCATTGTAGTCTGTCCAATATAGAACCAGTGCAGCCTGTCCAATAATAGAGTAGAATTATTGTTGTCTGTCCAGCATGAGGCAATTGAAGTCTGTCCAGTGTAGAGCCACACAGTCTGTCCAATACAGAGCCAGTGCTGTCTGTATAATTAAGAGCAACGGGGCCTGTCCGATATAAAACCACCGTAGTCTATCCAGTATAGATAGATTGTCCGGATATAAATCCAGTGCGGTTTGTCTTATATAGAATCACCGTAGTCTGTCGAGTATAAGGCCATTGTAGTTTGTCCGATATAGAACCATTGTAGTCTTACCAATATAGAGCCACTGTAGTTTGTACAATAAAGAGCCAGTTCAGTATGTCCAGTATAGAGCCACTGTAATTTGTCCAGTATAGTTCCATAGCGGTTGGTCCAATTAAGAACCACCGTAGTCTTTCCAGTATTAAGCCACTGTAGTTTGTCGAGTAAAGAGCCAAAGCAGTATATCCAGTACAGAGCAAGTGTAGTTTGTATAGTATAGAGAAACTGCAATTTGTCCAGTATAAAGCCACTCCAGCATACCACTATAGAGATAAGAGCAATGTAAAGTGAACAGTATAAGGCCACTGTAGTCTGTCCAGTATAGAGCCACTATAGTCTGCCCAGTATAGAGCCAGTGTAGTCTGTCCAGTATAGGGCTACTGTTGTCTGTCCAGTATACAGCCACTGTAGCCTGTCCAGTATAGAGCCAGTGTTATCTGTCCAGTATAGAGCCAGTGTAATCTCCCTAGTAAAGTGCCAGTGTTGTCTGTCCAGTAAAAAGCCACTGTAGTTTGTCCAGTATACAGCCACTGTAGTCTGTCCAGTATAGAACCAGTGTAGTCTGTCCAGTATAGAGCTACTGTAGTCTGTCCAGTATAGAGCCACTTTAGTCTCCCTAGTAAAGTGCCAGTGTTGTCTGTCCAGTAAAAAGCCACTGTAGTTTGTCCAGTATACAGCCACTGTAGTCTGTCCAGTTTACATCCACTGTAGTCTGTCCAGTATAGAGCCACTTTATTCTCCCTAGGAAAGAGTCAGTGTTGTATGTCCAGTAAAAAGCCACTGTAATCTGTCCAGTAAAAAGCCACTGTAATCTGTCCAGTATAAAGCAAAGGTGAAACAGTGAATAATGTGATTTTTATATTTTATAGATTGTTTAGTTAGTTATTATTACTAAGGTTTCTTGAACTAATTTAAAGGAATGTGCTATATAAAATATGAAGCGGATACAAAACATTAATTTTCACTGTTCAGATGTGTTTTTTTGTAAAAAATACATATTTTAAAAGTTACGTCCGGATTTTGTTGTTGTTGGTGGTGGTATATGCGCAATACATTTCAATAACAACGCGTACTAAGTTAAATGAGATTGGATAAGGAAATTTGAAGTGCATCACTTGAAATTAAGTTGTTATGTTTATACGTTCAAGCTGTATAGAATATATTTAAGTTTTCTTACTGTACTTAGAAGTCCAAGGTATAAGTAGAATACGACATTATATTCAACTTAGATGACTTGGCAAAATAGGTCACTGTGTCGAACTAAAAAATAAATATGTTAAGAAGGTGAAATAGCTACAATAAGTAAAGAGGTCATACGTCTCAAGCGGAAATGTTAAAGTAGTACAAACTATCTACAAGAAAGAAAAGACGGGAGCGTGCCATTTTCTCACAAGGAATAATTTTTACAATTGAGAATTTTGCGCAATGTTGCTACATGCCAAAATCAATCACCCTGGCTTGCACGTCAAGAAAAGAATATTTTACAATATAAACATTATTAAAGATAACCCCTACGTCACTAATAAAAAAATAAATGTTTTGAAATATATTTCAAAATAAATCTAAATTATATTGTGGCTGATTTGGTACACTTTGGTAATTTTACCATCTTGACTGTCCTCTGTATTATACGGTGGCACAAAAGTGACAAGTGTGTGTTTTTATTTATCTCGTGCGCATGAGATACTATGTCGTGGCCACGAGATACTAAGTCGTGGCAAAGAGATAGCA